TTAACTATTTAATTACCTTCCTCCTTTTCAAATATTGATAAATGTGCTCTTTTAGGACACACAGCTGTGTAAAGCTTGCTTATTTCATTTATTTTCCTGAAAACTAATTGCCAAATTTCAATATATTCTCACATTCCCACCACATATGAAAACAAGTACCTGCTGTCCAGCACATTTTTAAATAATTACCATCTATTTGATTTAGTTTCACTGGAGATAAATACCATCTCCAAACTAATAAACAATTTTATTTTATCATTACTGACAAAGATTTTAATATTCTAATGCTCCATAAATTTTTCCAGGCACTAGTACTTATTTCTTCTCTCATATTGAATTCCCATAATGGTTTCCGGGAATTCTCCATATCTTCTGCTTCCGGTAATATAAATTTTACTTACTATACCTTTCCCTACCTTGTTTTCACCTTTGCTTTGCTTTTGTAATATAATTCCTTCATAGTTTCCGGGAATTCTCCATATCTTCTGCTTCAAATAATATAAATTTTACTTACTATACCTTTCACTACCTTTTTTCCATCTATTTGCTTTAGTTTCACTGGAGATAAATACTATCTACAAACTAATTTAAAAAAATTATTTTATCATTACCGACAAAGATTTTAATATTCTAATGCTCCATATATTTTTCCAGGCACTACTACTTATTTCTTCTCTCATATTGAATTCCCATAATGGTTTCCGGGAATTCTCCATATCTTCTGCTTCCGGTAATATAAATTTTACTTACTATACCTTTCCCTACCTTGTTTTCACCTTTGCTTTGCTTTTGTAATATAATTCCTTCATAGTTCATAAATTCCATACATCTGCTATTTTTTCTTAACCAGTTCTTTGTCCACTGCTCTAGCTGAATAATGTTATACCAAGATATTTTATCCATACCTGTCAATTCTGTTATTTGTTCTTTATTTTTTTCTAATGAATTTTTTCTTCTAAAAACTCATTGCACAGAATGTAATAATGAAGCAAAGAATTTTATCTAATGGAAGTGTAACATTTTACAGTGAAATGCTCAGTTTCAACATGAGATTTTTCTCTCTCCATCCCAGAAGCATATAAATTATGTGAAAACTGGAAAAGATGGTCTATTTTCTCAGTCCCGGAGGCTACATATTACTCACCAAAGCGAAGAGGTACTAAATAATGAGTTACTAGCAATTCTTTTTTTGTACTGAAATAAGTACGCCATGATCACAGTTGTGACATAAGAAGGAATAATGTTACTCATATTGTTACTGTAACTGTTGTAATTGTTGAGTTGTGCGCTCTCACTGTGGAGGTGTGTTTTGCAACATGGGCAAGTGGTCCACATCATTCTTGTTCTTTAAAGAGTAATCATAAAATCATGGTTTAGGCATTCTGTTGTGTGTTGTTGAATAATAAGGTATAGAGTTATTTTAAAACATTGCAACGATGGTGTTAACTAACTACCCTGCAATGGTAACAGGTAACCAATGTGTTTTTAAAGTAAATTTAAAGTGAGACCACTCACTGCCAGCAGTAAAACATCTAGGTTCCTCTTGGTCAAAAAGATTCAGCAAGAGTGCAGATAAGTTGATATGATAACTCGTACAATGATGCTATGCATGGTTTGTTGTTTGCCTCTCTCCCTCTCCTGTCAAATGTTAGAAGGGACTGGATACATCTCAGCTCTTGAAGATGTGTGTCTTTTGCATGGGGGACAACAGAGAGAGACGTCTTCCTCAGGTTTCCTAGCTTATACTTGCTTGACCTGTGCTGACCTTCCTTCTACCTTACCGTGCTATTCTTACGGGTTGCTGATGTCATTTCCTTTCCACTCTCCCCTCCTCCATGTCCTTCCAAGGAGGGGACATTTTAACTTTGTTCTTTAGAGCTGAAAGGGGTAGACATGTCTCCTAATGGCTCCAATTTAACTAGAACTAGGACTTCTACCACCTTTCCCACCCTATAGTCCTCAAATAAACACAACCTTTGTTATTTTCCTGAAAAGAATTGAGAAAGTGTGCTTAAGGAATTGTTCTGATTTTCAAGTGGCTGAATCCAGAAATTACCATTGCTTATCTACTGCTCTGACTCTACTTTCAAACATCAGCATCAACCGTGCTGAAAGTGACTGAGTAGAGGTTAATTCTGGTTCATCTCAGTTCATAAAGGTGCTGTCCCCAACCCTCCTGACCGGTTTTCCCACTCACCAACCAATGCACACTGCTCTTCTCCTGATCTTTGTGCGACCATCCAGTCATAGCAAGAGTTTGTGCTTCATTTCTCTGCCTCCTCCAGCAGCTGGCCATACCTCTGGCTCAAGCAGCCACTCACCAGGCCCAGCTTTCTTGTTTTTTCCACCTCCTCATCTCCCAGTCAGGAGCAAGAGCACAGATTTCTCTGCCTTGCCATTTTGTCTGATTGGGAGATCAGCCAAGAGGGTGCAGCAGAAAAGCCTGAGCTATGCCAGGACTGGAAGGTCAGCTGAGGAAGAGCAGAAAGCTAACATGCTGGGCTGGGTGAGTACTTTACGAACAGGGACAAACCTGGATGAACTGGTTCATGCCGATCTCTATGAATAAGACATCTGGATCTTAATGGACAGAAGCCACCACATTTTTGCTAGTGGTGGAACTGGGCTTGATAACAAAGTGACTTAGTGCACAGCCAGTTCAGAACAACTCATGATGAAGGATTTGAAGGACCTTTTTGTTATGTAAGTAAGGTAGCTTCAAGCTATGAATCTGTGTTTGTATGAAGTGGCTGTAAGGACCCATGAGATGTTCCGAACTGGGTATTTAATTGGCTGCTAAATCAAGCTAAACCATTAAAAAAAGAGAAATAGATGGAATTCACAAACCTTTGTTAATGGCCTAAAAAAATCTAGGTGTTTTTCATATTCAGCATGCTTGCTATAACACAGCAGCCGTTTGTCGAGTTATTGAATTTTAAACAGTCCTCTTTTTCTTTCTTTCTTTTTAAAAAACTGGGTCTCTGATTTCCAAGAGCTTGAAGAAAAGGTGAAGGAAAGTCAGCTGATAGATAAGAGGTCACTCTGGCTGAATTACTGATATTTGGAGATGTGAGTGCGTTGCTAACTGGACGGTAAGGTAGGTCAGGCTAAAGGAGCTGTAATCACCGCTCTGATGACCTTCTTTGCTACTCAGAGCAAAGTTTGTTTTCCTCCCACACATTTTTTCCCATGGCTTGTCTGTTTATATTAGACACTAAGACCTCTGGGAAGTGGGAGTTTAGTCACAGACAAAATGTGTAGCTGTAGGACTATTTCAGCGGAAAACTCCATCGTTTGTGCTTATGCTCCATTGTGGTGGAACCACAACTTGAAAAGTCACTTTTAAAGAATTAATTATAGTTACAGTTATAAGCACCCCCAAAGTTATTAGTTACTACTGTATATATATTTCCAAAAAAAGAAAAGGGAAAATGGTAACTGTTTACTTTTCTGCTTTTCAAAAGTACTGAAAGATATTCACTACAGATCATTTCAATAATGCAGGCAATATAAGAAACTTGCTGAACAACAATAGGCCAGAGTAGACCTATCATGGTGTGAGATTTGCATTTTAATTTGAGCAGGGGGGGGGGATTTCCTTTGCCGCTCTTTCCAGCCTCACTTCCTTCCTCTAACTTTGCTACAGTCCTTGTTTTGCTCTTTGGCCCCCACCACTGGGCCAACTGCTTCAGCCAGCAGATTTGCTATGTTTATGAAATAACCAACGACTGGTCATTAAAATTATCATTATTGCATTTTTACCGGGAGGGATGGGGAGATCTTCTGCATCAGTTGCAAATCGGTCTTGGCTTGATGTGCCTTGAAAGAGTTTGGAAAGTTATTTTTTAAAGGGAATTTGTTCCCGTTATCCCTTCAAGTGTTCCAAAACCCCAAAAGCCCACGGTCATCATTCACTGCAATGCTGGAAAAGTAACTTGACACATTACTTACTGCACTGTTCTTTTTTCATTAACTTCTGTTACTTTGGGGTGGGGAGAGGACCTTATAGTTGACAAGAGACACAAAATTCCTGTCAGACTGTCAAACTGTTGTAAAATGCCTTTATCAGTAGCTTTTGAAAGGAAATAGAAAATGATATTCATTATCATAGCAGAGCTTTGTCCTTGCAACCTTACATTACTTTTGACGTGTGACTCTGCTAAACTGTTAGTCAAAAACGTAACTAGTCAACTACTTTACTTGCATAATGTTATGTCTAAGCTTTGTTAGTTGACGTGGCTAGGTAGGGACACTGTTTCCTGCTCCACCTCATGCAGTATGCTGGGTTTATAAGACATGCAGAGTTACGGGAGGATTATGATTGGCTGGAAGAAAGGTGAATTGCGTATTTTCCCTACAGCCTCAATGCACTAGCTAGGGGAGTAACATTCACTAACCATAACACAGAGAAACAGCCCTTGTAACTTCTTGAAACTGCAACACAGACACGGTCCTTTTCTTGCCAGCACACAGCAAGATGGGAAAAGCTTATTAATTGGCAACACAACCAAAACTCAATCCATGGTGCAGCCAGTTGGGAAGGGAAAGGCATCAAAATAAGCAATATATTTTTCCTTTATTTCCTCTCTCACACACGCTGGTATTCAAGCCGTCTATTTCTCACCACCACCACTGACACCATCTCTTTTCATAGTCTCAGAAGCAATATGATGTAAGCAAAGAAAACATTGCTCCAGATTCTGCCACAATGAGAAGTTTCTAAAAAGCCCAAAAATGCATCCGTGGGATCTCCTGATTGCACTTGCTGCCATCTCTTATTTGAAAGACGGTAACAACATGTAACAAAACTGACTCCCAGAGGCAGGTAGAATTCAAAAGAAAAGGATCCCTCCCTCACTCATTTTTATTCATCCCAGAAACAAAGAAGAACCTTAAACTTCACTCTCTTTTTTTTTATATTTTACCTTTGGAGACTTGGATTCAACATTTAGCTCCTGCCACTACATCCACTGGTGACACAGGCCTCTTTTTACACCAACCTGAGGAATGAAGGGGATACAGCTCTCCTTTATTTCTCCGCTCTTGGTCAGTTCTCCAGGTATCATCATCTGCAGCAAGGAAAACGGGGCATCTTAAGCTTGGTGGCTGAGAAATTGCAATGATCAATTCAAAACGGGGTGACTTCAATACCATCTAATGCTCATCATTACATAGTCAATGAACATTTGCATCTCATCATCACATGCAATCCTCAGGCCGAGTTTAGGAATATGGTAAAACATGGTGCCTGTCACTGCGTTGGTATCATTGCAGTGGTCACTTACAGTAGTCACTGAAAATGCAGAAGACCCAGATTTCCATAATAATAGCAACAAATTGCTAATTTATAGGTATTAGGGACGTAAACAATACTCTCTAAAGTCTTTGTTCTTGGCTCTCTAGGCTGTCCTTCTTTGATGAGATGCCTCAATAAGGAATTTTGGAGCTCAGTTCACCATTGTGCATCTTTGTGGCTGCACAGTCCCAGGAGAAGGGAATGGCAAACTGCTTCTGAGTGATTTCTACCTATAAAACTCTGAAAAAGATCACTGTAAATCCGACTTGACTTGACAGCACCCTAAAATGATGTTAACTATCACCATCAATTCTGAGCAAATGCAAACATATTTTTTTTCTCATCAGGGCCTCCATAATTTGTACAAATCCTCGGCATAAAATGGGTATTCCTTTCCCTTTGAAAATCACAGTAAATCCATGTGGGCTGTGTTTAAAAAGATGCAAACCACCCCAAAAACTTCTAATACTTAAAAGCTTAAGCTATAAAGACATTGTTTTGCAAAATTTGTCTCATTTGCAGAATTCTGCTTAATTTTTTCCCCATCAAATCCTGGAACAATGGGCAGAGCACAAGAATTTAAGATCAACCGTCCCCCCTACCGTCCGGTTCAATTCCTCTGCCACCCCATTGCTTACTTAAAACCTCTCAACTGATAAAGCAACAGTTTTCGTGCAACCTTGTTCATTTCTTCTCCCTCTACACATTTCCCCCCTTCTTTTAATTAGACTATAAAAGTATACTGTGACTTTCTGTGTTGCTGTGCACAGCTGCGAAAGCTCAAGGGTGAATAAAGCTGACAGGGAAAAAAATGCTCTATTCAAAACGTGGTGCTGGAGAAAAGCTTTACGGATACCATAGACCATCTGAAATGCAACTGAGTGGGTACTAGAGCAAATCAATCCGGGACACTCTGTAGAAGCAGAAATTACTAAACTGAAGCTATTGATCATCATGAAAATGCAACACTCATTGGAAAAGGCAGTAACAGTAAAACTGAAGCTATTGATCATCATGAAAATGTTAACACTCATTGGAAAAGACATAACAGTAGGAAAAGTTGATGGAAGCAGAAAAAGAGGAAGACTGAACATGAGAAGGGTTGATTCAAAAAGGAAGCAGGGCCTTGAGTTTGTGAAACCTGAACAGGGCTGTTAATAGCAGGACTTTTTTGGATGCCATTAATCCACAGAGTAGCCAAAAGTCAGAAGCAACATGATGGCATTTACAAACAAGAATAGATTTCAATGCCACTTCAGTCTAGCATTCATTTTTTCCCCTGGCATGATGCCATCAGTTTGTGCCAAGGCAGAAGGGTCCAACAGAGATCCTATTTGCCAACATTTTATTAAGCTTCTAGGAAATTACAATGGCGCCTTGCTTTACGATTGCCCCGCGTTATGACAAATCCACTTTACAACGATCTTTTTGCGATCACAATTTCAATCGCAAAACGATGGTCTAAATGGGGGAATTTCGCTTTGCGATGATCAGTTCCCTGCTTCGGGAACCGATTCTTCGCAAAATGATGATTTTTCAACAGCTGATCAGCAGTTTCAAAATGGCTGCCAAGTAAATAAAATGGCTCCCCGCTGTGTTTAGGGATGGATTCCTCGCTATACAGGCAGCGAAAATGGCTGCCATATGGAGGATCTTCGCTGGACGGTGAGTTTTAAACCCACTAGAATGCATTTAAAGGTTTTCTATGCGTTCCAATTGGCTTTTTATTTTCGCTTTACGATGTTTTCGCTTAATGGCAATTTTCCTGGAACAGATTATCGCCGTTATGCGTGGCACCACTGTATTGTTTTCCTCAGGTTATTTGTGACTGGATTCAGGGTAAGAATGAGCCATTCTCTCTCCTGTACCCCGATGCCTTGCTTGTACTCTACTTAAATGAAGAACAAAACTGGAGTGGAGAAGAGTCCTACAGAGGATTATTAGTGAGCTCTCTCTCCAGCTATGAATAAAAAAGAGTGAAAGATGACATAATTCTTTTATTCATATAAGCTTAGCAAAATAGCTCAATATGTTAGAAGTGTGATGGTCATGGAAATACCTGCAGCTAAAAACAAACTGAGGGTGGAGCAACGCCATGAAGAGTTTGAACAGGCAAAGGCCAGAATTATTATCATTAATTTTGAAGGCAGCTCCTTCTCTGCTTCTGATCCAACGCCAACCCATGTTCTACACTCCTCATTAAAATATCTTCCATACACCAAATGAGAATGATCACATCTTTTCACAAACCACCAACACATTCCAAAACAATCTCTGAGCTGTACGGCTGTTCTTTTTTTGTTATTATCTGCATGAATCATGCTCACGTTATAGTGAAGTGATTTATTGCCACGTTCCTCGATTCTGGCCCCCCCAGGTGACAGTAATTAACCTTTGCCAACTGGTGAAGTAGTTGCCGCCGTAAGCAATGTATCCCCTGACGAACTGTCCTGTAAATTACATAGTCATTCATTTCCACAGAGTGTGATTTTTTTTTCCTGGAGGTCACTTCCTCAATTTGTCCAAGGCCAAAAAATGTATACATTTTTTTGGGGGGGAGCAATAAATAAATCACGTAACACACCATATTATTCCACCTCTCCATTCCAGCTTCTGAAATGAACTTTTGTGAGAATCATCTAGACCAGTGTTTCTCAACCTAGGGGTTGCGATCACCAAGGGAGTCACAAACTGTTTTTTTTGGGGGGGGGCAGCAGTTGGTCACCTTATACATGTTGTAGCCTTTGTTAAATAACTTGTTCCTTGATCTTTTGGAGTAGGATATTAAAGTTAGTGTGTATGCTTATATACAAGAAACAATCACTTTTGTGTGAGAAAGAAGCCACTACTTGCTACTTTCTATGCAAACATGGCTGGTGGGGGCCCGCAGGTTACTAGGCGATTATAAAAGGGGGTCACAACTGGAAAAAAAGTTCGGAAACATTGACCTAGGCCTTCTGTAAGAATGTACTGCATCTGTTCCACCTCACAATGACTTGCAATGACATTTGTTTGCCACTTACTTGGTCCAGCCAAAACCCTTTGTCCCTCTTTTTCTCTCCCTCATTCTTTCTCTGCTTTACACACTAGTGTCAGATTAACTAGATTCAAACCAAACTGGAAATGTTGGATTTTTAAAAAAAAATTACTATCTCTCAATCTCTGGTTTATTTGTCTTTTTTATTTATTGACGTTTATAACCCCCCTCCACCAGGGGTGAGCCACTACTCCGGGAAGTTTACAAACATGGAACGTAAACAGATGAATCCAACTCCCCACCCAGCCCTAAATGATCTAAAAATAACTCCACAAAAAGCCCACACTGGCAACGATGAAACCCAAACGGAATCAAAGTACAAGGCAAGGGAGGAGATAATGAAAAGTTTATCTAAAGATCAGTGCTTTTATTTGCCTTCAGTTTTGGGAGGAAAGGGGCCTGGTGAGCCTACACCAGTTACACATTCCATAAAGAAGAGGCTATCACTGAGAAGACCCAGTTCCTGGTCGTAAATTTCAAGACCTCCCATGGGGTGGCGACCTGCTGCATCAAAGCTTAGGAGGTGCGGGTGATACAGTTGGCAGGTCTCTGGGAGAGGCACTCTGATAAGTAATGAGGTCTCAAACAGAACTCTAGCCACCTAGAGTGGTCGCAAGATCAGATAGAAGGGATATAAATAGAATAAATAAATAAACTAAGCAAATACCCCTAACCAGAGCTGTCCACTCCCAAGACTCCTTTTCCATTCAGAACTGCAGGATTCATAAGCAGAACACAATGAAACAAAGTAAAGAAGAGTTCTTAATCACTATTCAGTGGTCCATAGCCTTCCAACAATAACCCCTTTCCTTTCTCTTCTCCCTTGGTTTTGGATTCCAACATTTCATGACCAACGCTTATGCTTGGTCTTCATTGGGCTACCCATTAGAGTCATTGTTCTCTGTAATATTTATTTATTTGCCACTTCTGAAAAACCTGGGTCTGCCTCAAGCTTGCCAATACCTCCCAAACCTTTTGATGCAGGATGGGTGCTGCTGTTTTGGTTCCATAAGCAATGACAATCACACCTAAAACAGACGAAAGGATACTGCTGTGCTCCTCTTTGAGTTGGTAAATTTAGAAGGCCAAGTTATGATTGTACATGTGTGTGCGTGAGAGAGGGGGGATCGTGAGAAGTGGAGGAGAGAAAGAGAGAGAATTTGAGATAAGGAGAGAGAGCAGAGTTACCTTGAAGTCTGAGGTTGTTTACCTTAAAGGTAAAGGTTCCCCTTGACAATTTTTGTCCAGTAGTGTTCGACTCTAGGAGGCGGTGCTCATCCCCGTTTCCAAGCCATAGAGCCAGCGTTTTGTCCGAAGACAATCTTCCGTGGTCACATGGCCAGTGCGCCTTAGACACGGAACGCTGTTACCTTCCCACCAAGATGGTCCCTCTTTATCTACTTGCATTTCCATGCTTTCGAACCGCTAGGTTGGCAGGAGCTGGGACAAGCAATGGGAGCTCACTCCATCGCGTGGATTCGATCTTACGACTGCTTGGTCTTCTGACCCTGAAGCAGGCTTCTGCGGTTTAGCCCGCAGCGCCACCACGTCCCCCTTGTTTACCTTTACACTACCTTAATTTACTCTCTCATACACACACAGACATCAAATTGCAAACCAGTCATTTTCACTAATAAATGTAGGAAAGTTTGGAGGACAACAACGGATTTTGTTGAAGATAAAACAAGATAAAAATTGACTTCTAGGATGCGATCCTCGTTTTGTTTCATTTAGAA